AGGGAGAGCGTGGGAGACGGGAGAGCGTGGGAGCAGGGAGAGCGTGGGAGACGGTGAGAGCGTGGGAGCAGGGAGAGCGTGGGAGCAGGGAGAGCGTGGGAGAGGGGAGAGCGTGGGAGGGGGTGAGAGCGTGGGAGCAGGGAGAGAGCGTGGGAGGGGGGAGAGCGTGGGAGGGGGGAGAGCGTGGGAGGGGGGAGAGCGTGGGAGGGGGGAGAGTGTGGGAGCAGGGAGAGCGTGGGAGGGGGGGAGAGCGTGGGAGGGGGGGAGAGCGTGGGAGGGGGGAGAGTGTGGGAGGGGGGAGAGCGAGGGAGCAGGGAGAGCGTGGGAGGGGGGAGAGCGTGGGAGGGGGGAGAGCGTGGGAGGGGGGAGAGTGTGGGAGCGGGGAGAGCGTGGAGGGGGGAGAGCGTGGGAGGGGGGATGAGCGTGGGAGGGGGGAGAGTGTGGGAGGGGGGAGAGCGAGGGAGCAGGGAGAGCGTGGGAGGGGGGGAGATGGTGGGAGGGGGGAGAGCGAGGAGCAGGGAGAGCGTGGGCGGGGGGAGAGTGTGGAGGGGGGAGAGCGTGGGAGGGGGGAGAGCGTGGGAGGGGGGGAGAAGCGTGGGAGGGGGGGAGAGAGTGTGGGAGGGGGGAGGAGAGTGTGGGAGCAGGGAGAGTGTGGGGGGGGGAGAGTGTGGGAGGGGGGGGAGAGCGAGGGAGGGGGGGAGAGCGAGGGAGCGGGGAGGAGTGTGGGAGGGGGGAGCGCGAGGGAGGGGGGAGAGCGTGGGAGCAGGGAGAGTGTGGGGGGGGGAGGAGAGTGTGGGAGGGGGGAGAGCGTGGGAGGGGGGAGAGCGATGGGAGCGGGGAGAGCGTGGAGACGGGAGGAGCGTGGGAGCAGGGAGAGCGTGGGAGCAGGAGAGCGTGGGAGGGGGGGAGAGTGTGGGAGGGGGGAGAGCAAGGGAGCAGGGAGAGCGTGGGAGCAGGGAGAGCGTGGGAGCAGGGAGAGCGAGGGAGCAGGGGAGAGCGTGGGAGGGGGGAGAGTGTGGGAGGGGGGAGAGCGTGGGAGGGGGGAGAGCGTGGGAAAAGGGGGGGAGCGTGGGAAAGGGGGAGAGTGTGGGAGCAGGGAGAGCGTGGGAGGGGCGGGGAGCGTGGGAGGGGGGGGGGCGTGGGAGAGGGGGGAGCGTGGGAGAGGGGAGAGCGTGGGAGGGGGGGGCAGCGTGGGAGGGGGGAGAGCGTGGGAAAGGGGGGAGCGTGGGAGAGGGGAGAGCGTGGGAGGGGCGGGGAGCGTGGGAGGGGGGGGGGGGGAGCGTGGGAGAGGGGGGAGCGTGGGAGAGGGGGGAGCGTGGGAGGGGGGAGAGCGTGGGAGGGGGGGAGAGCGTGGGAAAGGGGGGAGCGTGGGAGAGGGGGAGAGCGTGGGAGGGGGGGGGAGCGTGGGAGAGGGGGGAGCGTGGGAGAGGGGAGAGCGTGGGAGGGGGGGCAGCGTGGGAGGGGAGAGAGCGTGGGAGGGGGGGAGCGTGGGAGGGGAGAGAGCGTGGGAGGGGGGGGAGCGTGGGAGAGGGGGAGAGCGTGGGAGGGGGGGGAGCGTGGGAGAGGGGAGAGCGTGGGAGGGGGGGAGCGTGGGAGGGGAGAGAGCGTGGGAGGGGGAAGAGCGTGGGAGGGGAGAGAGCGTGGGAGGGGGGGAGCGTGGGAGAGGGGAGAGCGTGGGAGGGGGGGGGGGCGTGGGAGGGGAGAGAGCGTGGGAGGGGGGGAGCGTGGGAGGGGGGGGCGAAGGAGAGGGGGGAGCGTGGGAGAGGGGGGAGCGTGGGAGAGGGGAGAGCGTGGGAGGGGGGAGAGCGTGGGAGGGGGGGGAGAGCGTGGGAAAGGGGGGAGCGTGGGAGAGGGGAGAGCGTGGGAGGGGGGGGAGCGTGGGAGAGGGGGGAGCGTGGGAGAGGGGAGAGCGTGGGAGGGGGGGCAGCGTGGGAGGGGAGAGAGCGTGGGAGGGGGGGAGCGTGGGAGAGGGGAGAGCGTGGGAGGGGGAAGAGCGTGGGAAAGGGGGGAGCGTGGGAGAGGGGAGAGCGTGGGAGGGGGGGGAGCGTGGGAGAGGGGGGAGCGTGGGAGAGGGGAGAGCGTGGGAGGGGGGGCAGCGTGGGAGGGGAGAGAGCGTGGGAGGGGGGGAGCGTGGGAGAGGGGAGAGCGTGGGAGGGGGAAGAGCGTGGGAGGGGGGGGGGGCGTGGGAGGGGGGAGAGCGTGGGAGGGGGGGGAGCGTGGGAGGGGGGAGAGCGTGGGAGAGGGGGGAGAGCGTGGGAGAGGGGGGAGAGTGGCACCCGCCATCACTCCCTCAGCCCTTCTTCCCACCCGTTCTCAGACCTTCGTCTCCCACGAAGCTTCAGGTTGTAATGGACCTGGTCGCTGCCTCCGGGCACACCCAGGGGGCCACCTGGGCGTCAAAGCCCCCCCCCCCAGCACCCCTGGGAGTGCGCGCACGCCGCTTGGTGCGAGGCGGCCGTGGCCGCGGCTTTGACGGCCGCGAACGGTAATTTGACTAACGAAGTGAGCATCGAGGGTGCGAGCGCAGGCCCGTGGCCGTGCGATTAGCCCGCGAGTAACGGGGCGCTCGGAGGGAGGGGGGGGGGCGCACGCCGGTCCGGTCATCGTCGCGGCGTCCGCTCGGGGCGAGCGTTGTGCAGGAGCGGTGCACGTAGTCGAATGAGTGACGGCGCGGACGCCACCCTTGGGCCCTTCTCCTACGCGGATGAGTCCGGCGGGGGAGTCTGGTGGGAGAGTCGGTTTCCTGGCACCCCCTTCGCCACCGTTCGAGTCGACGGGGGGCTTTGCCCCTCCTCGCTGCCCCCCCCCCCCTACAATCCCTCACGCTCGGCGTCGCGGGTCGTGTCGGCCACGGTCACGGACGACCCCCAGCCTCCCCGGCGCTGCAACGACTGCGCATTTATTCTGGACGAACAGCTCCAGTTTTTTTTATTTTGGCAGCGTGTCGTGCCGGTCGCGCCGTGCCACCGTGCGGCCCCCTCACCCCCCCCCTCACCCCCCCCCCCCCCCACGAAGTTTCTTCGGCTCCTCCGTTGAGCTCCGTAACACGACCGGTAGCCCTTTGAAGCGCTGCGTTAAAAAAAACAAGCTACGGCTGCCCGAGCCTCCGCTTGTCTGCCGAGCCTCCGCTTGTCTGCGAGGGAGTTTCGGCGCTGATTTAACGAACGCGGACAAAGGAGTCTGGCTCAGTGGAGCGTGCGTGGGGGGTCTGCCGACGGGCGCTTTGTCACCGTGTCACCCCAAGCGCTCCTCGCCCCCCCCCCCAAGCCTCATTACCTTCCTCATTATCCAGTCATCAGCGGGCATTGGGCGGAAACAGGGCTTGGCGGTCCGTAATGGAGTTATCAAATAGTAACAAATGCACTTGAAGCGCATCTCATGAGCAGCAATTCATTGAAAGCCCCCTGTCCTCATTAAAGCCACGATTTATACATATTCACCGCGCTGAAATGATCAAGCACCCGCGAATTAACATTTGTCTGACATTCGGCAGCCATCGTTATGTATTTACTCATCTGACAACATTTTTTCCCCAAATGACACCGCTTAGTGTTTACCCCAAATGCCATTTCTATTCGTCAGCGCGTTCACCCCGCGTCTCCCTTAGAAAAGAGGCTCATCGTCTCATCGTCTCGGTGGTTTCCCGCCTGACTTTAGACAACCCGACGGTGTCTCGACGTGAAATCGTTATTGCGCCGCCACCGCCGCCACGATGGTTACAGCGAGCGCCGCGTTTTCCTGGCGGAAGGAGCGAAAAGAGTTTTCACGAAAATCCCAGGGGAGCTTCGGTCCAAATGGAGCGACTGAAGGGGGTGGGGGGGGGGGTGGGCACCCGGCGAGTGAGGAGCACGGAGACGCGGTACCGTCGCCGCATTTGGTGCTCACTCGCCGTTGGAGCTCCGCGCAGGCGCACGCTCGTGTGGCGGGCGCACGCTCGTGTGGCGGGTGCAAGCTCGCAGTAACGGGCAAACCCCTTCGTAGTAATGGGCGTACGCTCCCGGGACGGACGTACGCTCGCAGTAACTGAGATTAACAGACGCAGGCGACGGATGCTGGATACGGATTGCGGCCCGCGCGACCTGTGTGACCCCGCGCGGACGTGCTCCGTCGAACGGCGCCGCACGCTGCTTTACAAGCGCCGCTGAACTCGCCGATCCCGCGCGTCGGCGCTGTTCAATCTTAATAATTAATCTGTCGCTTGATTTTTTTGTTCTCGCAATGACACTTTCATTTAGGCGACGGCGCGCGCCGTTGTTATGCCGTGCGCGCGACGGATTAGGACACCTGCGTCTAATCCGTGACTCCCAGCAGGGCTTGGCAGACTCGGTGAGGTGGCCAATCCTTTTTACTGAGATAAATGAGACGTAAGTCTCCTGCCTTCGGTAAACACGTGTGCGGCCGTGTGTGCCGTTCCCCCAGCAACACGCGCGCGACAGCGTCCAAGTCGACGTTTTTATTTTTTACTGCGCTCTGCCAGTGGCAGATGGATCGCAAACACAGACGTTGGCAAAGAACATGGAACAAAAAAAACGAAAAGTGTGCAAATAAGCATGACGAGATGTGTGCTGGAAATTACATTGAGAGAGAGTGGAAGGGGGCAGCTGTTTGAGTGAAATGATGAAAAAAATACACGATTCCGAATGCTTGCAAAAGTGAGTGGTGGTAGGCTGGACACATCGCGAGTCGGGATGATGGTGTAGAATAATGACGGAGTGGCAGCCAAGGAGGGAATGCGCCAGAGAGGACGTTTCATCGAGGAGATGGAGCGACGAAATCAACTCGTGTGCAGGTGCTAAGCGGGATTATTGCATCGGAGGACCGTGAGACAGGGCAATAGCTTGGTGAAGTATTAATGCAGCAGTGGGTTGATTACGGTTGATGACGATGAAGAACAACAGGCAACAAAAAGAAGAGGGTTGATGAAGCGAGCGGCGAGCGTGACCCGGTTCGACCGTGCGGCGAGCGTGCGGAGCGGGGGGCAGGCGCGCGGTGCTGGTTACCTGCGCTCGAGTCGCTCTGTTCACGCGGGGCACGGAGAAGGCACCGAGGATGCGTTGACGGTGCCTCCCGCCTGCTCCCTGTACGCGCGATGCGCGTTCACGTGCAGCGCGGTGCCCCCGGCGCTGCGCTCGTGCGCGCTCTCTCGCGCGCTCTCTCGCAGGGACGCGCTGTGGCGCCGGCAAGGGGACACCGAAGCCACCGCTCCTCGAATCCACCGGTGGCCGGGCACGGATGAACCCGCATTCCGCGATCGTTCCTTTTGCGTGTGTGTTTTTTTGTTGCTTCGCCCTTGATTCACTTCTCCCTCTGTCGCTCGGCGGCGGCGGCGGCGGGGCAGCGAAGCGTCCGAGCGCGCAACGGGTCGGGCGAGCGGCCGGCCGTGATCGCGAGCGGCGCTCTCTTCTCCAAAAGTGGTCGCACAGCGGAGGAGGAGAAGGAGGGAGACTCCGTGCGTGCGCGGCGGACGGCGCGCATTGCCGGCGTGCGCGCGCCGAGCTCCCGCGCGCTCCCAGCGTCTCGGCAAATGAACGCTCGCCCCGCCCTCCCGTCCGCGCTGGGGCTGTGAGCGAGGTGGGGGTGGTGTGGGTGGTGGGGCTGGGATGCGTTGGGGCGGTTTGCACGGGGGCTTGATCCTACGCTCTCCACTCTAGAGACCGTGACTTTCAGTAATGGGATTACTGGCTCTGGATCTTGTGGCAAATTAGCGTCGTTCTGCAGCACTTTCTCATTTCTTAAAACATTTTTTTGCAAATACCAGCGCCGCCGGGAGCCGTGGCAAGTCCATGGGGATCGTCGATGTCAATGGATGGCGCGGGGCCGCCACCTGCCCAGCTGCTTGCTCGCTCGCTCGCTCGTTCCCTCGCCCGCTCGCGTGCGTGAAGCGGCACGGGGCTCCGTTCTTCGTGAACCGACGCGGTCCTGACACGCGCACCCCTAGATCGACTCGGCCTCAAATGAGTACCTGGCGCCATTTGTAAACATCGCCACTGGGGAGACAAAGGTGGACGGGCGTGGTACTGGCCATCCATCCTCTCGGGTGCCATGCCGGCCTTTATAGGTGCTCACAAACAGCGCTTTCCCCAACAGTCTAAGGTTATACGGGAGATCTTTGTCTTTGTAGACAGGTTGAGAGTTGTCACTAATTTCCTGCTCTGCTAACGATGGGGATGTGCTCGTGTCTTCTTCATAGCCTTGGCTGGTACTCTTCCATCCAAGCACTCACCAATTCTTGGATGTTGTAAATTCCACGTTCATATGACAGACTGAGTTCATCCATAGAACAACAGATATGGATTTCCCCGTAGAGCGTTGCTCAAGTTGTCCACCAAGAAGGGGGTGAAGAGGAGTTGATCTTGACCCCGGTGGGGGGATTTGAGCTTGCAACCTTTGTCTTGCAAGCGGTGCACTCCGAGATCACTTCGCCCGGCAGCTTGAGTAAAAAAAAAACAGGGTGCTTAAAAAAAATGTGGACACTTACATGGGACTATCGTTTTTAATGGAAAACTAGCGGATAATATACTGTAAGATGATTACAAATGTAATGTTAATAGCTTCAAAAAGTCAGTCTCCACTTGTTGGCCATCATTGTCAACACGTGCCTGGAATCTTTTCCAAGTGGTCTCCAGAGCCCGGAGGTACATTTCTCGCGGTATTGTTGCAAATTATCTGAAGTGTTAAAAACATTTTCTTGAAGCACCCTGTATAACGAACCAATTAGAAGAATTGTTTTTGAAAAGAGCCACAATCTACTCCAATTAATGTTACGTGCCACGCTTGCCCTTAATAGGCGCTCGCTAACAGATAACAAAAAAAAACTGGTAATTGAAAAATATATCCCGACTCCAATTAGAGGCACACACCATATTTGCCGTAATAGCTGCCTGCAAATAGCAAAAATGCTTTTAAACAGCCAATTGATGACGGACGCAGCCTGATCCAATTAACATCATGTGGCACGTCCGCCTTCATAGGCGCGCGCTAAGAGGACTCCTCCGACACGAGGCAGTCTCGCCTAATGGGGTGAGTGCTGTGGGTGGCGTTGCGCCGTGAGCGCACGAGACGTGAGCGCGCGCGGCCACATTGCGATGCACGGGGGGGAGGCGGTGCCCTCAGCTGTTGTCTCCCTCCCTCCCCCCCTCGTGTTTCAGCTTGCCATGTTCGAAGCACGCTGCGATGCTTACCAACCCGCGCCTCCGCTGGAGCGTGCAACGCGCACGTTTCTCGACAAACGGTTTCAAGTGAATAATAAATAGTTTTTTTTTGGGGGGGGGGGGGTTAGATCACGTAAATATATATGTGCCGTTAAACCTGCCACCTCCCGACACAGCCAATTAGTAAAGTTTGTCACGTAAAGAAAACACGTTAATGCCTTACTAGTACAGCACACCGGTGTGTTGGAGAGTAAGTCCACAACATTTACACATTTTCAAGTGCACGTGCTTGGCTTTGCTTGCACGCTAGCGCTCGGTGCGCTTGGACGCGCGCTCGGCTTTCGAGCGCGGTGGGGAGATCGTGCGGAGAGCTGCACCTGCAAGCCGCACGTGGCAAACGCAGCAGCCCGTGGCACGCGCAGACCGTGGCACACGCAGCTCGTGGCACATGCAGCAGCCCGTGGCACGCGCAGATCGTGGCACGCGCAGCCCGTGGCACGCGCAGCCCGTGGCACGCACAGACCGTGGCAAACGCAGCAGCCCGTGGCACGCGCAGACCGTGGCACGCGCAGACCGTGGCACGCACAGCCCGTGGCACACGCAGCTCGTGGCACGCGCAGCAGTCCGTGGCACGCGCAGCTCGTGGCACGCGCAGACCGTGGCACGCGCAGACCGTGGCACGCGCAGCCCGTGGCACACGCAGCAGTCCGTGGCACGCGCAGCTCGTGGCACACGTCGCACGTGGCACACGCAGTCTGTGGCACACGCAGCCCGTGGCACACGCCGCCCGTGGCACACGCAGCCCGTGGCACATGCAGCAGCTCGTGGCACACGCAGCAGCTCGTGGCACACGCGCAGCTCGTGGCACACGCAGCTCGTGGCACACGCAGTCCGTGGCACACGCAGTCCGTGGCACACGCAGCCCGTGGCACACGCAGCCCGTGGCACACGCAGCTCGTGGCACACGTCGCACGTGGCACACGCAGCTCATGGCAAACGCAGCAGCCCGTGGCACATGCCGCGCGTCGCTCGGCAACCCGGATCCCTGGAGGGGGAGGTATAATCCACGAGGCTATTTAAATGTAAAATCAATCATCGTTAGACAAAAAAATAACAGCAGGCGTGTACTTAGGAAATAAAGTGGCTTATTATATGTTTCTAAATCAGTTCTTCTGCCCCCTCTCGTGCTTATTGCGCACGTGAAATACCGTACGTGGATCTGTGCAACGAGAACTGCCGCGTCCTTAATGCGCGGACGAAGAAAAGCGCGGCGAGACGGCCCCGGCAAGTCTTGTCAGCATCCTCGCGAAATTATTGGCGAGTGACGAGCTAATTACTGTGTCCTGTAGCGATTGTTGCCTAATTATTCACTCTGGGGTGGAGCGGGGGTGGTGAGAGGTCGTGGAGGGTGGGGCGTGGGGAAGAGAGGGCGGTGATGGTCAACGATTCCGTGATGCCGCGGGTGATTTTATTTTTTTGTTACAGCGGTGGCGAGTCCAATTTACTCGCTTTGTGACGGTGGGTCCGCGTATGTGCCACCCTGCTCCCACGCACTGGCTTGCAAATGTTAATTTTGCGTCCGCGATGGATTTCTTCATGTAAATTCCGTGAAAAATATTCTGTTTGCACGGGGGAGGCTTAGGGGCCGCGCGAATTAAACTCGAGCCGCGTTCAGGTATTGGGCTGCACCACCTGCAGTGCTGGGAGCAGTGGGATTGGCTCGATTTCTAAATCATCTTTTGGCGGTCTAATCAGCAGTGCATTTCCTCGACAGCTCACAAGGGTCTCCGTCACGTGCGCTGGTTGTTTTCACCTTTAAACTATGAAACGGGCCCTCGTGTCACCCTAACTGCCCGAAAAATGGAAACGAAACCGATGGGAGTTTTGCGTGTTTCCTTCGTGCATGGCGTCCGGTGACGTTCTGCACGAGCTCCAACTGTGCAGCTATCGCTTTTCGAGCAACCTCGGGGGCGATGTTGTTGATGCAGCAGCAGCAGCAGCAGCAGCAGCAGAAAGGGCAAGAATTTAAAGTTGTACAAACGACATCGGCAGCTTCCGGAACCCAACAGCGTCGGCAGTGGTAATCCATGTGTTCGTGTCTGGCCTTCTGGAACAAATCGAAACCCGCCGCACTTTGTTGGGGAAACTTTATTCTGTTTGTCAATATTGTTTACCTTTTGAAATTGCGCTGCCCGCCATTCGTCGCGAATACGTTTGAAGTTGCGGCAATGTGATATTGATGTCCCCTAGTCACAGGTTTCTCCTCCGAAATAATAAAAATAACAACGCTGCCCCTAATTTATTCAAGTAACCCTCACCGAGTCTTGTGACTCTTTTTCGAGAGGGCCCCATGCATTGGCATGTTTGATTAAAAGTAATATGCCCACTGGTGCCGTTGCTGCGAGCGTCTTGCGATGGATGTGGTGTCACGTAGACGCTGTAAAAATCCAAACTGTATCGCACGCTTTTGCATGCGGGAGGAAACGGGAGGACCTGGAGAAAACCCGCACATGCGAGGGCATAATTGTGAAAACGCCGCAAAGATTGATTAAATCCGCAGATAAACCCAATACGTCGAACCATTTGTGGACCAAAGCAATCGCTGTACTGCCAACTTCTGGCCAATCTAGCAAGCCCCGGTCAGTACCCTTCCATCCGAGCAGTGACCACGTACAAGGCTGCTCGGTACAGGAGTTTTGGGTTAGATTGCTTAAATATATTAACGTGTCGTTAAACCCACTACCACCCGACACAGCCAATTAGTGAGGTTTGGCCATGTCGGGTTGTGGCGGGTTTAACGACACGTTTATATATTTACGCGATCTAACCCAAAAAAAAAACCCCGTATTGTGGATGGTATTGTTCGCGATAGCCTACGTGTTTAAAGCTGCTTAACTTCGGAGATGCCGTGAGATGGCGCATTATGGTCGGACTCGGTCGAAGGGGCATCGCGAAGGCGTCAAGTGGGATCTCGTTAGTTTGCGTTTTGTTGTTCCAATTACGGTGGTTCGTCGTATTAAGACATATCGCAGATTGCGGACCCTGTCGCGACCTCGTGTTTTATGTTGCCACCTGTAGATTTGTCACGTACCGGTGACCTTTTCGGCGCGCGGCCGCTGGAGTGGTACCACTTCATCGTGCGCGCTTGGCCGTGATGGGAGGAGAAGGCTCCTCGGATTCCGTGTCGCTAAACTGTTTACTATTGACAGAGCCGCGCCAAATGGTGGCTAAAAGCAGGAAGCAGCGATGGCGGCGGTGAGCAGATTCAATCGGAATGAAAAGCCAAAGTGGGAGTGAGCGTGGGTTCTGTTCATGGGTGGCTCCGAGCCAGTGGTGGAGATTTCGCATTCACGAT